GAATTTATAGGCACACAGATTAAACCTGTGTTGTTGATTTTGGAAAACACTACTGAGGCTGCCTTGCTTCCCTTCTGAAAATCTACATTTTAACCAACTTACATGACATTCTATGTTATGTTGACTTTATCACATGAAAGTTTATAGTGCATTTCATCAATTAATAAATAAATGTGAAAATCGTAATTTTCAACACAAATAATAGTCTCGCTACCTTAAGTTTATACATGTAGATATAGATACGAGCTGCAGAGGACACTGTTCAAGCTGGTATTTAGGAAAATTGGGTAATACATAGATAAACATGTATAAGCCAAAGTTGTTCTTGACTGGAAATGTCTGAGGGAGTGTGATGTACTCTGTCTTGCCACAGTGTCTCATTCAAAATGCTGTCATCAATTATATACTGTAAAGGGGTTAATTATTCACTGGGTTTTAATTTTGCTTATTTCGCTGACTGGAAAATGCGCTAATTTAAAACCCAGTGAATATGTAAAATTTAGCATAGAACACATTATCTAAATGATAAAACCGTGAATTTAAAACGCACTGAATATACCTGAAATGGTAAATAAGCAGAATTAAAACCCAGTGAAAATTAGTCATTTTACAGTAGTCAGCTGGTGGTGTATGGAATGTTTAAATAAATAAGACTGGCAAACAAAAACATAAATTTTTGAGTGACATATCATATCAACTCAGATTAATATATGATAGGTAACATAGTACATGCATGAGTCAGACAACCTGCTACCTGAGATGTGTGTCAGTGTGGATTGTTGAAGATCATTTAATGGTTGAAGTTTCTATTACTGTACATGTACGAACAATGATGTGAAAAGTTTCTAAGCATGTTATTATAACAACCTATCCTCGGGGGCGGAGCTATGTCACAGACGTTCTACGTTGCTAAGACGCGCACCACTGCACAACGTATTTCTATGGGCTTTGTGCACGCTGCTGTGGAACACGGGTGGAGCCGGTGAAAATTTGAAGTAATCCTGAACAACCAAATTCATATATGTTACACAGGTAGGGCTAATCTTGTTACACTGTTCAGGGGACTCTCATCAACTATCGCAAAGTACCGTTTTCTGCGAGTTTTTGGTCTTTGTTTTCACCGCAAGGGTTGCCAGGCGGTGGAAAATGCCCGGATGTCTGCCCCCGAGCATAGCTAATACATTTATGAAAGTTTAGAAATACTACAGGGCACATAGCGTTGGGAAAATCCTTTGAAAGTCTTTGGATTTTTTGAGGTCTGAAAAGTCTTTGAGTTGTCTGTAAATTACAGGAAAAATAAAATAATCTTTGAAAAAAGTCTTTTAATTTCTTCATAGTTATTATGGTAATTCATTTTAGAAATTTCCGTTTTCTCCAGGGAACCACAATATCCCCAGAACTTTGATGAGCTTTGGGGATGAACTTTTTTTTTGCTAACACAGCCGAGAGGCTGCTTGTTGGCTTGCTTCAGGACTTTTATGCTCACTATCACTATGCAAATAAATTATATATTACATTGTTAGTTTGTTATTTAACCCATACCCTGCCAGTCCTATGTACTTTTACATTAACTTGACCAGCTAGAGGTTGATCTAGGTTTTCAATAAACAAGGTTGTAATAGTTTCACTATGTTTTAACACTAAAACACTGATGGATGAATCATTGACATATAAAAGAAAATGAAAGAGTTCTAAATTTGAACCCTGTGCTACGCTGTGACTAACCGGAAGCCATATCGCATAAGACCCTTCAATTATATCCCTTTGATATATAGCTTGTTATCTGAGAGTTCACCATGAAAACCATACATACTAAGTTTGTAAATTATTATGTCATGTGGTACACTATTAAATACTGTAGAATACTTTATTTTCGCTTGGAATTTATTTTCGCTGAAGGGATGATTTCGCGAAAATAAGATCCAGCGATATACTTTTTTTCCTATATTTCACATTAAACTTATCAAAAATCAGTGAAAATAAATTCCACAAAATACGCCCAAAAAGCCTTTTCAGCGAAATTTTTTTCCAGCGAAAATAAAGTATTCCACAGTACAGTATCAAGACATGATATCTGTATATCAACCCCTGTAATATAAGATGAAATATAATGTGGTATTTTATTTGGAACTTTTATAAACAAATTAAGGTAAGTTTAAGAAGCGAAGACATTACAGGACTGAAACAGATCCAAAATACACACAAAAAAAAAAGCAACGTTAGAATAAATAAACTTGTCACAACTTGACAAATTTAAAACAAAAATCATCAAAACGTAAATTTTGAAATAGTAACTCATAAATAAAAGAAGCTAAAACATATTTCTGTCTACCTTTTTTGAAAAAAACTATCTAAGTATATTTTCCATTCCCAACCTTGTTACAATCATCGAATAGATAATGAAATCTTATGGACTTTGTATCAAACGGCAAGTACACATTAATAATAGATGTGTGTAAAGAACTCACCCATATCACTTACCGTATTTGTCTTCAGTTAAGCGCCACCTTCAATTAGGCGCCAGTGCCACAAAAACTTTGTATTTTACACCTCAATTAAGCGCCAGACAAAGTTGAAATTTTGGCACGTAATGATCGTGAATTGGGCGCCGGCGGATCGACTACCGGTTACCGGTTCGTAGCGATGGACGCGATCGCGGAAGTCCCTCGCTGTTACTGTACGAATGGCTTTTATGTAAAAAAAAATTGGTTTTGTTTCTAACAATTTTTAAGAAATCGGTCTATAATCTCTTGAAACATGTCTTTTTAGTCTACTGTAGAAAATATCAGCGTGGTTTTTAATTTCGCAGTAAGTCCATAAAAACGAAATTAAAACAACGCGAAAATGTTCTGTTTCAAATGCGCTGTTGTCACAGTAAACAGTGTTAAATTATTCTTTAAATGCTCAGTTTACTTTCCAAAAATAACTAATTTCTTGATTTGAAAAAAAAATCATGCCGTTTTTCCCACCAAAATCAAAGCCAAAATATCGCAAACATCGGCAAATCACTTCCGCATTGCGTTCATGTATTATTTAAATGAGCTATGGTAATTTGATCACGTTGGCATCATCCAGCATTTTGATTGGTTAATTAACGACTTGACCTATCAGGTCAAAAAACGCGTTCCAGACAGGAAGCATGGCAGACATCGAATCGCGCCGAGC